GTTTTAAAGCAAAGGTATGTTTTTTTATTATATTATTTAATTGAAATTATTTTATTTATATAATTATTAAAGCTATTATTTATTTTATTAAAGTTCGAGAACAATACAATAAATGGATGTCTGATGAAATGCATAAATTAATACCAGCTGGTAGAATTAAAAAACCAGCATATAATAAAGTTGCACAATAGGTTAAAGTAGCATGGGAAAGTATTAATGTAATAAAAATTAAAAATTCATTTAAATGCTGTGACATTTCTGTGAAAAAAGATGGTACTGAAGATAATTATATTTTTGATTATAATTTGTTAAAAGATAATGTTGAAAATGAACCTGTTGAAGAAGAAATCTTAATTGATGAAAATATGTATAGCGATGATATAGAAAATTATGAAAATCCATGGAATTAAGCATTAGACATATGTTTTAATGAATATATAATAAAGCTGCTTGTTAAATGAATAATAAAATAAAGAAATTACTTTTATGAAACTTTATTTTAAATAATATTTTCAATGTAATCGTATGATTGTTCAATTTATTAATATTATGATATTAGTACCCGGGTACTATACAGTGAGTAACCCGTCTGAAAAGGGGGGAGGGTACTATATATAGGAGGGTACTATACAGAACGCTTTACGGTAGTTGCTTTCTAATACCTTCATTTTCATTCTCTTTGGAATGGCAGTAATCAGTTGACTCAAACGGATTTGAAATAGAATAACAGAAGATAAGTTACATATTTTGGTATTTTTTCTAGGCAATTTTCTTTCAATATATAATATATAATAAAGTACTGCAGCTAGACTGCATTGTTAATAATTAAAAAATATATTTTGACTAGTAAGATTACCATTAAATTATGTAACTATCATTTGATTATGTCATCACTACCATAATCTAATCTAAAATGCCAGAAGTTTTTTAATATAATTATATCTAAGAACCTTTAACATCTTAAATTATATTTAAATATTTATTTGATTTAATAATATTTTTATTATAATATTTTATAATAGTCTGATTATGATATAATACCAAAACTAACTGTTTTTTCTTATATAACTTGATAATTCTTCTTAAAAGACTTTTTTTTTGATATGGTAAAATCATTTTCATAATAGATTTAAAATAAAAAAAAGATATATCAAGTTTAATTTACTTATAAGTAGAAGATATATTATAAAACCATTGTATTAATTTTAATTGCAAAAATGATAAAGTAATTCACAAATTTAATCAGATTAAGCTTTAAAATTAAATAATTATGCAAGTATTACAATCTAAAAGAAGTAATATAATAATTATAGAAATATATTAAATAATATTTTGTAATTTTATATTTACATGTGACGGCAAATATTTCGTGTTACAGACAGCAAATGCAATGTATTTAATATATCTTTATTCACTTGTTCTTTCCCATGCATAAAAACTTTTCTCTTTTGCAAAAAAAAGGATTAAAAAAAGACAGAAAAAACCCAACTTAAACGAAACATAACAAAAAAGTAAAACATTTCACATTAATAAGAATGTCCGACAATACATTAAACGAAATTCTTGAAATGCTACAAGGTTTATGGATACAAACGAGTTCGTTTCTAAAAGCTCTCCAAATTTCCGAGGTTTTTAAATCTTATGTAGAAGCTATCAGTACAAATTCAATGTCAGAGATCATTTACCTTCTTGTCCTTTTTGTGTTGCTTTTTTTCCTTTACAAGATACTTCTTTGGGTACTCGGAACAGTTTATGAGATGATAAAATTTGGAATTATTATCGGATTTCCCATTATCTTATATTGGATATTTGTTAGCATTGACGTGGAAAAGGGCAATGAGGAGCTGAGAGCAACAAGAGAAAGACTAGTAAAAGGTGCCAAGGAATTTGTGTTTGATGCTGTTGTTGATCGTGATCTATAATGAAGATCCATGTCGATGGTGATGTTATTTAATTCTGATTAGCCATTTATAGATTTTAAATTAAATGTAGTATATTGAAAAAATAAATGTTTCTTGTATAATGAACATTTAGATTTGATGTAGATTGGTTTATTATTTTTAAATACAATAAATTAAATCCCCTAGATAGGAGAACCGAAATATATACTCAACAGAAGATGGTCTGTTTAGTTTTAGATTCGGTAAGTGTAGTATATGATCCAGCAGTAATCGATCTTGTAGTATTAGGATATTTTTAAAGTTAATAAATTGATTTGTTAATTACTAAAGGAAAATAAGAGTTATAATTTGATTTACTTTGTCCCCCTGATAAATTTCTGCTGTCGATTCAATCTTCATATTTTTCTTGTATTTTTAATAAGACATCCCTAGCAGCTTCTGGGACTTTTGTTCCAGGTCCAAATATCAAACTTACACCAGAATCTTTTAAGAATTTATAATCTTGTTGTGGAATCACACCACCTGCAATTACAATCTTGTCATTTGCACCAAGTCTTTTAAGTTCACTGATAAGATTTGGAATTAGTACTTTATGACCAGCAGCTTGTGAAGACACGCCAATTACGTGTACATCATTGTCAATTGCTTGACGTGCAACTTCTTCCGGTGTACTGAACAAAGGAGACAGATCAACGTCAAAACCAAAATCGCTGAAAGCCGAGGCAATTACTTTCGCACCTCGGTCATGTCCATCTTGACCACATTTAGCAACCAATATTCTAGGGTTTACACCTAATTTCAACCTTGTTTGCTTTATTTTTCAATGAAAGAATATTATCAATGTCTTATAATTGATTTACAAACTAATAGATAAACTAACTATGTTACTTACTTCAACAAGTTTCAATAATTTATTAGTTTCATCTTCAGATCCATAGGCTGATTTATAAGCGCCACTAGCTACGCGACTAGATGGCTCATGTCTTCCCCAAATTTTTTCCAAAGCACTTGAAATCTCACCAACAGTACAGCGTGCCTTGGACGCCTTCATAACAAAATCATTAACTAAGGAAAATATTACGCGGTATATTAAAACAAATTTCAACTTGCATACCTCAATTGATAATTCAAGTAAATTGCCCTTTCCAGATTTTGCGCATTCTTCTAACGCGTTTAATACATTTTGTGCCTATATTGATCAAACCTTTAGTATTATTATTGAAGTGACATAAGTTCAATTCATACAAGTTATAAACTGGTTAAGATAATTTTTAATTATTCTACTAACTTGTTTGTCATCTCGACTAGCTTTGGTTTGATTTATACGCGCAATCTGTTCTTGTCGTACTTTCGTATTATCAATTGCACGAGCATCAATTTCTCTTTCTTTTTCAAGACGATACTTATTTACTCCGACAATAGTTTCTGTGATAATAAAGCAACAGGTTGGTAAAATTTAAAAATCATAAAGTTCAAGAATATTAAGACAGTTTAACCTTGGCCAGAATCGATTCTAGCTTGTCTTCGGGCAGCACTCTCTTCAATTCTTAGCTTGGGCATGCCACTTGCGACAGCATATGCCATACCCCCCATACTTTCAACTTCTTCAATAATCTCCCTAGAAGCTTCATAAATATCATCCGTTAAGCTTTCCATCATATAACTTCCACCCCACGGGTCAGCCACTTTCGGTATGAAAGCTTCTTCTTGAAGTATCAATTGTGTATTTCGTGCAATACGGGCGGAAAATTCCGTTGGTAGACCGATTGCTTCATCAAAGGAATTAGTATGTAAGGATTGAGTTCCTCCTAGGACAGCGGCCATCGCTTCAATGGTCGTCCTTATAATATTATTATAAGGGTCCTATTTTAGTTGAATTGTTGCTGCTATAGTTAGCCCATATCTTACAGCAAAGCAACATTCAAAAATTGATTACTTGATAGTGAATGCACCTGTTCTGTAAGTGACCAACCGGAAGTTTGACTATGAGTACGTAGCATCATCGACTTTTGACTCTTCGGATGAAAATTTTCTTGAATAACTTTAGCCCATAAACGACGAGCTGCTCGCATTTTCGCGATTTCCTATGAATATAATTCTTTGGTTATTTATCAAATTTATGATATGAAAAATATTATAATACTTGTTACCATGTAAAAATTCATTCCAATACCCCAAAAGAATGACAGTCGTGGTGCAAAATCATCCACTGTCATACCAGATTTGATTCCTAAAATTAAACAAATATGAAATAATCAATTCGAATAATATGTAGATTTGATTTTAGTCTCATAGTTTTACCTGTTCTCACATATTCTAATCCATCTGCAACAGTAAAAGCCAATTCAAGCACAGCATCAGCACCAGCTTCTTGCATATGATAACCAGATATTGAAATTGAATTGTATTTTGGCATATGCTATCAAAGGTATGTATCGAGCGTAAGTCTATTGACCCGCAAATATTATTTATAACACCATTCCCATTAAACTAACCTTCGCAATGTAAGAGAAAATGTCTCCTATAATCCTCATAGAAGGATCGGGTGGATAGATGAAAGTGTTACGAACCATAAATTCTTTTAAGATATCATTTTGGATCGTGCCAGATAGTTCTTTTAACTGTGCTCCTTGTTCTAAACCTGTGACAATATACATGGCAAGAATTGGCAAAACAGCACCATTCATGGTCATTGACACAGACATCTTATTAAGCGGTATTCCATCGAAAAGAATCTAAATTAAAACAAATCATTGAGAAATATTTCATACAATCTAAATTACCAATAAATATATATATCAATTGCCATACTTTCATATCTTCCACTGAATCGATTGCTACACCGGCCATACCAACATCACCTACCACTCGAGGATGATCAGAATCGTAACTAATTATATGGATCATAATAATTAGTTAAACGACTTATTAATATACTTATTTTGAAATGTAACAATATGATTAATACCCCCGATGTGTGGCCAAATCGAAAGCAACTGATAATCCTTGTTGTCCAGCTGCTAAATTTCTACGATAAAATGCATTTGATTCTTCCACAGTACTAAACCCTGCGTACTGAATTGCAAATAAATATGCAAATGTTTATATTAAAAATTTTGCGAAAAAAAATTGAACAACATATAATTATGTATATAATTAATAAATACGCGTTAATGATTACAATGAACTAAATTTGAAATTCATTTCAACCTGCCGAATTGTCCAAGGTCTTGCTGTATACATTGACGCGTAAGGACCTCTTGTAAAAGGAAATTTACCAGGAATCTCGTCGGGAGTATTTTCAGTATCAGATTTAGTATATAAAGGTTTCACGTCTATCCCCTAAAATGTTTTAAAGTGAATTTTTTTTTTTAAAAAAAAAAAGAAAAAGAAAAAGAAAAAGAAAAAAAAAAAACACACACCTCAGAAGTATGCCATATTAAAACCTTTGCAGGGTCCTTTCCTTTCAATTCCTTTGTAGCAAGTTCAACCCATTCTTCTTTTAAAGG